GATGTGGATCCAACCACGCCCCCTGGATCTTGTGTTCTGCAGTGAGGGGCTACTGGCATATGTCCCAGGTGGAAGTCAGGTGTAGGCACTGGCCTGTCATTATTAAAGGCTAGTTTACCCAAAATTAAAATTCTTTCTTCATTTACTTACCCTCATGTTGTTCCAAACTTGTATAAGTTTATTTATTCTGCTGAACACAAAAGAAGATATTTTGAATAATGTTGGTAACCAAACCGTTGACGGTAGCCATTTTTTTCCCCATACTACGAATGTCGAAGACTACTGTATAATAATAATAATATCTTGTGAATAAACAAGATTCATTCTGGTTTTTAACAAAATTGGCAAAAAATATTTTACCTTAACCAATCAGTTGCGTTTTAATATGAAATATTGTTATGACGCTTTTTAGATTCTTCAAAAGACCCAAACAACAAGACTGGCTTCCTGCTTAATGACTATCATGGGTCAAAACTGAAATCAAGAAAAATTAGCAAATTTTTTATTTGATCAACATTTAACCAGCTACCAAATGTTTGAGAAAACAGTTATGTGGGTCAGGAAAGGCCAGTGTTTTCCATTCTGAAGCGGCATGTACAGTGGGGTCAGAGACAATTCTGAAGGCCTGATTGCTCTTATGTCAAAGCTGAGGTACTCCTAAGCCATTTGTGTCTGAGGACTTAGCCAGATTATGTCAGACCCAATTCCCATTGACTAACACAACTAGTTTTTGTAGCAAGTGTTTATGAAGAACACTCTGGATTAAGACAGGGAAAGAGAGAGTATACATATATAACAATTAGAGAAAGCACATAAAAACTTGTGAGTGTGAGATGAATGACGCAGTGTGCTCTTTTGATGACTTTGCTGTCATCAAAAGTTTGCAGTCTCTCAACTGTTGCATCTCATTGCAGGTGGACATGTGAACCCAGCAGTTTCTCTGGCTATGGTTGTCTTGGGGAAACTCCCATTAAAGAAATTTCCTTTCTATGTGGTAGCCCAGTTTCTAGGTGCCTTTGCGGGGTCTTGTGCTGTCTTCTGTCTGTACTATGGTAAGTTTTCACTGCATATCTATTTTTTGCTTCCTGTTATTGGCTCCTTTTACACCTAAGACAGACTTAAAAGTTTTTTTTAAATTATAGCGGTTTTAGCACTGGCCCACAGTTATTGGATTGAATGAGCTCATTCTCATGAATAATGTGGTGAAAAGCTCAAACTGATGACGCAGATGATTACTCCAGTCCAGGGGTGCCCAAACTCGGTCCTGGAGGGCCGATGTCCTGCAGAGTTTAGATCCAACCCCAATCAAACACACCTGAACCAGCTAATCAA